CCTCGTCATCACCATGTGTCCTCCCCCACCTCTCCCCGTCCTCCTCAACTTCCACCTTGTCCGTCCATCCTCCCCTTTATCGTCGTCCTCCCTCGCCATCCGCCTCCTCGCCCTTCTACACCACCCACCCAGAGGTTTTCCTCATCCTCCTCCTTCGCCTCCTCCTTGTTCTCCTCCTCCCTCCTCCCTCCTCCCTCCTCCCTCCTCCTTCTCCTCCTCCTCCTCCTCCGCGCCCGCTCGCCATCTGGGGGGGCGCTGTTGCGACGGCCTCTGCCGTCGTGTCGCGCTCCTCGATCGGGGGGCTCGAGTCCATGAGCTTGCCAGTCCGCGCCGCGCACGGCGCTGTCATGCGGAGCGCGTTGTAGGCGTTTACAGTTCCAGTTATGTTGTTGAAAAGGGTGTTGCCGATCTTCTCGTCGCAGTTCCCTGAGCCGTCGAACGCCGCGTCGAACTCAGGAAGGGCGCTCTTGCAATGCTTGTGGCTGGCTTTTAAAGCAGCCGAGATCTTCACCAAGAGAATTGCTTTGGTGGTCCCTGAAAACACTGCCACAGATTTGACCCACTGCCTCGCGCTCTGCGGGTCGAGGTGGCACGTGAAACCAGCCTTCTAAGGCGTGGCACTTGTCAGTCAGAAGGAGAGAACCGAGGCGAAGCAGCATCCGCTGCACCATGCGCAACGCGTGCACACAGCGGCCGAACGACGTAGCATCGTCCAAGGGACTCGTTCGGAACATGGTCTTGTGATGCTGCGCCGCGCAACCCACCAAGTCCTTGACCTGCGTCGCGATGTCCAAGTATGTCGTCGCCAACGAGCGCCCCATGCCCTTCGTCTCGCCTTTCATGCTCGCCCCTGGGATCACGATGAGACGATCGGCTCCAGCCTGCAAGAATGGCGCCAAGTCAGGCAAAGCAACGTTGTCGCTGACCTGCTCTAAAGCTTTTTCGTCTTCGATCTGTCCGCCCACCCAGCTGACGTTCTCCAGAAACAGATCCTCGATGCTGCCGCCGGCGAAGATGGTGACCCGCCTGAAGAAAACTTCTTCCGCAGGTACTTCTCGAATCACGCTCTCGCTGACCTCGTTGATGTTGGCAGAAGGGCCCGGAGCGATCTCTGCGATCTTGCCGCTAATGAAGATGTCGGAGCACTCGGTGTAGATCTTCATGCCTTGATGGGCCGGGTTGCTCTGAACCCATGGCGCCTCTCGCCGCCTTCCCTCCCTCCGTAGAGTAGCCCCTCCGTGGCTGCACGCGGCGCACAGCCGAGACGGCTTGCTCTACCTGAGGGGGGGTCGCGGCGAGATCAGCGCGCCAGTGGAGATCAACCCGCGGGGCCTGGACCCTCGACGAACGCCTTGAGGGCGCGAGTGGCGCCCTCGACGATCTCCTTGCGAGTCACGGCGCTCGGGGCGTCGAACACGAAATCATCCTCTTCCATGAAATTCACCATGCCTGCTAACTGGACGATGTCATTCGCGAACTTCTCGTGCGTCTCCCTTGTCGGGGCAGCCACCTTTCTCATCTCCACCAGCTTCGCGCAAAACTTTGGGAACTCCGCCATGTTCTTCAGAGCGCGAGTCATGCGAATGAGCCCGTTCTCGAAACTACCAGGGTCGAAGAAGTCCTCGCAAATGTGATCAAACACCGCGCCGCCCACGCGCTTGTGGAGCATGTTCGCGCAGCACATCCACCTGGCATGCAAGTCGCTGAGGGGCGCCCTGAAGACGTCAACGCTATCCTCGAACAGCTTCGCTGCGCCTGTGAACTCCTCGACGTCGGCCTTCAGCTTGTTGATCTCCAATGCCTGGGCCGTCGCCGCGTCATCACCGACAGTGGCCATGGAAAAAGAAACGAGTGCGTCACCGAAACCAGGGAGCATGTAGATGATGAGCTCCAAGAAGATGTCAACGAGCATGTACTTCCCGACCTCCAGCAATACCATGCAGTTGTCGAGGTTCTCGGCAGTGAACTTCAGGTTCGCATGGCACGCCGCCGTGGACCACGCCATGGTCGAGCCGTGCGCACTGGTGAAGAAGAGGCCCATGCGGTTGAGAAGTGCATTAAGATTGGCGTAGCCAATCTGGTGTGATTCTGTTCGCACCCTGGCAACCCATGCGTCAAGATCTTCGAAGGACTCCGCGAAATCCTCCTGGAAGGCCTTCGATGCGCGATCGAATTGGCCTGTCGCTGTATCGTCCTCGATGGGCGGCTGAACGTGCGCGCGGCTGGCCTCCATGAAAGCCTTGGATACGCCTGCGTCGCGCGAGCGAGTTCCGATGCTGGAGAGGAAGCTTGTTTGAGCAAGTCGTGGATGATCGTCCTGGCCTGTCTGACGGCGTTTGTGGGCGGCCTGGCGCTCTCGACGTGGTTGATGCACTTTGCAATCACGACGCTGCTCCTCAATGCCTCTAAGGTCAAAGATCTACAACCCACCCGCGCATTGTGGCCAGCCAAGGGCCCTCCGATGACCACCGAGATGGCCAGGTCGAAAGTCCGAACTCCGAAAACCCGAACCCCGAAAAAAAAGACGGATCGAAAATCCGAGCACCTAAACAAATCTGACGATTGGGTCGTTGTGCTTTGGCACCGTGACGCCTCTGAGAACGTATCGTCCTCCATATCAGTCGCGATCAGCGTCTCCTTCAAGGCCCACTGCTTGCCGATCAACTCGTACTCCACAATGAGGTCGCAAGCTTGCACGGCGTTGGCGACGGCCTTCTCGGGCACGGAGGACACCCACTGCTTCGCGGCCTCCGAGAGCATGTACGAAAAGTAGAAGACTGGTGCCTGGCCGGCAGGTGCTCGCACATGGATGTCGTCTGTTGCTCGCTTAGTCCTCCTGGTCTTGGATCTTTTGAGCGGTGGCGTAGCGCGATCGCTCTCTGCTTCGATCGGGCCCTTCTTCTCCGTTTTGACCGAGACAGTGGCCTCCTCCACCACGCGGGGAACAGCGCCCCTGATCCTCAAATGGAGTTCGAAGATGGTTTCGTCGAAGGTCTCGGTGGCGTGAGGGATCGACTGCAAGTCTTTCGCAAGCCCATGGAAGACGGCGTACATCAAGGCGATGCGGATCTCCTCTGAAATGCAGACCTGTTGCTTCATCAGGCAAGGGGGTAATATCGCAAATGGCTCCAGCGCCTCGTACAACAGGACATCCCCATGACTTTCCAGCCAATTCTTGACCGCCTTGTAGAGGGCAGTCAGGCCTTTCTCACACCTACTGTCCAACTGGTGAAAAGCCAATTGAACGTCGAAATTAGCTTTGCCCACAACATTCGGACTGTGTCTGGTGAGACGCCCGTGCAAGGCGTGCATGGTGCCGAGCACGAACTTATCGTACCAAGTCTCATCGGCCAACTTCTCCACATACTCGTTGATGGCCCCCCGTGATCCTGCAAAGCGCCCCGTAGCAACCCCCTGACGGGAGGGGCGCCGCGACGGAGAGGTCGTTGATACCTTTCGTCTTCTGGAACGCCAATACGTTGTCGCCGTCGTCTGCTGGCTCTTGCTTTGGCTCTTCTTCTCCTGGCTGTTCGGCTCCAGGGTCGCGGTCCTGATCGCCGTCGCCGTCGGCCTCATCACCCGCGCCCCCGGCGCTCCCTGGCATGGCCACGTCCTCCTCAGGCGTCCGGGGCACGGCGGGCGGTACGACTGACGTATGCGCCATCATGCTCACGATCTTGCTGTAGAAGCCATGGCTGTACGGAGCAAGCTCCAGCCTCGCCGCCACCGCCTGCTCGGTGAGGTCATCGCCCTTCGGCTCCGAGGCTGGAAATCCCAGCTGCTGCTGCTCCTCCACGGAGGGCTCGGCCTTCGCAATCTCGCCAAAGTCGTCGCGGAGCTCCTGCTTGACATAGCCATGCGCACCAGCTACATCCACACAACTCAGGACGGCTGAGGCCTCGTCGAACTGCACCCTGTTCCCGAGGCGCCTGGGCACGACCTGCGCTTGCTCTTCAGCGCACTCGAGAGCCTCCATCACGTCTGGCAGCTCAGGCTCCTGCATGGAACCAAGCATAGACCCGCTCGCCGCGGAGCCGCTCGCCATTCCCACCGAGAATTACACTCCACAAGAGGGGCAGGGGTCTGGCAGAAGGCTGGTTCGCTTCAGAGTTCTGTGCCCGATACTGCGATGCAGGGGAAGGGCAGGCAACCATGCCTAACATGTGAGAGTGGCCGGAGCTCCAGAATCCTGATAAAACCCTCCTCTCCTCCACCTTCTCCTCCTGCCCTCCTTCTCCTCCCTCCCCATCTTGGAAATTAGCGCAACGCAATCGATCGAGGTGGGCCTGGAGGATGCATCCGAGGAATCTTAACGATACCGATACCCGTACTCCCTGGACCTCTTCCAGGGTGCATTCAGACCAAGCAAAATTTCAAGACGATTCCAGACGTAAGGCCGATGTACGGTTAGAGGTACGGTAGCGGTATTCTGTCATCCTCTGAGCATCGGGCGCCGTGGAAATTCCAGAGTGTTCTCAAACGCTCTGGACCGAGGTCCCCTCCCCTTACCGTCGCTCGGACGTTCATTTTCCGTGAGTTATTCGGTTTCGTGCGTGTTCTTTTGCCTCGATGGTCCAGGATGGTCCTCGATGGTCCTCGCCGAGAAGAGATGCACACGTCCGAGCGATGCCAAGTCCCAGGGCAAGAGCCCCCTCCCATCACGCTCAGCAGCGCTGTGGCGGACTCGCGCGGCAGCGCACACATGGACTACAGGACGGCGAGGAAGGAGCGAGGGCCGGAAAAGGCGCGGAAGCGCGGGTTTCCCTTGGCGGACGAAGAACGGTGCAGCACAAATGTTGTCGCCATCTGGGACGCCTGCCCCATGGCGGCTGGAAAGTTTATACCGTGGCGTGCCACCGTAGGGTCGGGGATGGACATGACCCCCTGTCGACCCAAACCTGGCGGGCACAAGCCTTGAAAACGACGGCCGCGGCGGCCTCTCGAGAACCGAAACCAGACAATTCACTAATCGACGTGTCAGGGTGGGGGGGTTCTGTCCACCCCCGACAGGGGCCGAAACTTTCCGCCCGCCCTGGGACAAGCGTCCCCCACGACGGAAACAAGTCATCTCATACCGTGCTTCGTCTGCTGCCTCTCGGGGCGTTGCCCGGGGGCGTCCCTGGCCCAGGGTGTCCCCAGCTGGCCTCCAGAGCACCCCTCGCCGAGCCCAGGGGGCTCGAAGGGGCTCCAAAGTGGCGGGACAAGCTGAGGACACCTTTGGGTCAGGACCACCTCCAGCAGCGCCCGAGTCTGGGCGGCGCTGGGGCTTGGCCTCACGCGGGCGGCCCGCCTCCGCCAGAGCCGCTCGGCTTTCGCTCGGGGTGCCGAGGGCAGCCACGACTCACTTCACCACGAGGGCGCCACCCTTCTTCACCACGATGACGAGCTCGTTCGCCTCCTTGACCTGCTTGAGCATGTCATCGGAGCTGCTGCTCACGCCGTTGATGGATGTGATGAGGTCGTTCGTCTCGATCGTGCTGCCAGGGTTCTTGTCGTTCCACTCCTTGACGATGCCATCCTTGACTTGCTTGACTTTCAGAGCCTTGTTTCTGTCTTCTCCATTATGAAAGTGGGAGATGTCAAGACCAAGTTTCGCGTCACCCGTCTTCGTTAAACTGACGGTGATTTCATGTGCCGTCGCGGCGTCTAACTCGCCGGCACCCGTTCCCTGGACGTCCTGGACCTCAACCGCCTCCGCCGTCTCGGGCTGGGAGCACAACCCGCCCATCACGACAGTCCTCCTTGCACCGTTGGCCCTGGTGGGTCTCTGGTCGGCGCGCTCAGGGAGCCCGAGCGACTACGGCGCGAATGAAAACAGCTTGAGGCAGAAATAGCGAGGCGCAGGATGAAGAGGGGGGGCGCGGAAGGAGAAGCAGGAGGAGCTCCAAGCGGCTTACCCAGGCAGTCACTTCAGCTTGCGGCTCCTTCAATGGAGGACAGCGGGTACGCAGGCCGAGAGCAGGGCTGGGAGACTGAGTAGGCAGCCACGCGTGTACGCGTGCCCCCTGCAACTTCTGCCCAGAAATTTTGGCCAGGTTGCGAGCTTAGCAAGCGGGGTCGAAAACTGCGAGCGGGCGCAGGTGAAGTGAACTCCCACCGACGAGAACCCCCCTGGATCAAACCGACTGGCGGGACAGTCGACACTGGTCGGCGCGCTCAGGGAGCCCGAGCGACCACGGCGCGAATGAAAACAGCTTGAGGCAGAAATGGTGAGGGCGCAGGAAGAGGGGGGGGTGCGCGGGAGGAGCAGAGCAGACAGAGCAGAATCTCATGGGGCCCGTCTAGGTCTGTAGCAGGAGAGGTAAGCAGCAAACGTTGTGCTCTGGACGACTTCCTCCGAACAGCAATACAAGCCTACTGGGGAGGAGCAAGAGGAGCTTCCAGGGTCTCGCCTCAACCTTTTCTTCATCATCAACGGCTCTAGACACAGCGTACGCGGCGTTGCCACGATCCCCCGTATCCCAAGGGCTCCCAACTTCCCGCTTCGCGCTGCGCGAAGCGCGAAGTGCGAATAACTTCGCTCTCTCGCGCCGCCTCCCAAGGGAGAAGAAGAGAATGAGGAGGAATCGGAGCCGAACCGCGAAGCGCGAATCGGGGGCGCCCTTGGTGTCCGGGCCAACCCTGTTCCACCCGCGCTCCCTCCGTTCTCCACACCCCCCGAAGGGTCCCCTGGGGGCCTCCGGATCGTCCACAAAAAACCAAGACCGCCTAGAAGCCACGAGCATCGCCCGTCCACGGCTTGAGTCCAACGCCCGGAGGGATAGCAGAGGAGGAAGGGCGGCCTCGGCCACCGTCGGGCGCTTCGAGGGCTCCCACACGAAGCACCTGGGCGAGGGATGCGGGAAGGGGGACGAGGGGGGGGTGATGAAGGAGTCGACGGAGGAGGCAGAAGGGAGAAGAGGAGGAATGAGAGAAGAGGAAGGGAAAGATGAGGGATGATAGGAGGGCGGAAAGGAGGGAGAGGAGGAAGGAGATGGACGAGGTGGATCGAGGGCAAGGGGAGGGGAGTACAGGAGAAAGCCCTGGAACTTCGGAGCCGAATGCCCTAGACAAGAAGGACAAACTCGAACAGAGCGGGGCGGTCTTACCCGGCCGCCGACCCTAGAACTACGAACGATACCGGTCCAAGATACTAAAAACAATGCCCACCAAACAAACCATGTGAACAAACAGTTTCTGTTGCACGTCAGCAGCGAAGCAAAAGCGCTGCTCCAGCGGGCGGCAATTTGGGGCGACCGATACGCGAATTGGTTGGCGTGCAAGAGGAGCCGTGCGAACAAACAGGTGACAATCCGAACCCGTGCGATCTTAACGGGGGACTGGCCCGTTCGATCGAGCAACAAATGACAGGCCCGACCATTCGAGCTAACAGGTGACAAAGGCCCGACCATTCGAGCTAACAGGTGACAGGCCCGGCCGTTCGAGCTAGCAACCTACACACCCGACAAAGAGCACAGTTGCCTAATATTGCACCTGTGGTGCCAACTGCATATGCACAACCAACATTCCGATGAGGATTGAGTTTTTTATTTGAGCGACGCTGCCGAATGCAGCCAGCGACTGAGACAGCGACCCACTTCCCATTTTTGACGGCTCAACGCGTAAGCCGCCGCGGCATTCTCACCCTCAAACTCGCGATCCTCCCGGGCGTTTGCCAGCAAGCGGCCGCGGCTCAGCGCAAATCGGTGCGTTCCCAACGTGTATCGCACATGGCATGCTGGCATGCGCTTCTGGCGCGTGCGGGCGGCGCGACATGTCCACGCTGGCGACCGCTGGTTTCGTCGACGGCTGTTTTCGCCTGGCTGGTTTCGCCGCCCGGCGAAACCAGCTCCGTCGGTGAAACCAGCCCCGTTGGCAAAACCAGCTGCCGTCGGCGAAACCAGCTGACCCGACCCGCCCGCCAGGGTCCGCCCGCCCGACCCGACCCGCTGGCTAGGGTTCGCGCGTGCTCGGTCGAAGGCGCCCCGCGCTTTACGTGTCCCGCCCGGCCGACCCGCCCGACCCGCCCGACCCGCCTGTACGGCCCGCCCGCCCGACCCGACACGGCCCGCCCGCCGGGGCCCGCCCGCCCGATCTGGCCCGCCCGTCAAGATTTCGCTGCTCGGTCGAAAGCGCCCCACGCTTTGATGTCCCGCCCGCCCGGCCCGACGTTCAGGTCGGCCCGCGCGACCCGACCCGCCCCGCCCGCTAGGGTCCGCCCGCCCAACCTGGCCCGCCCGCCGGGAATTGCGCGTGCTCGGTCGAGCGCGCTCCGCACTTGAATGTCACGCCCGCCCGACCCGACCAGCCCGCGAGGGCCAGCCTGCCCGCCCCGAACCGACCCGCCCGCTAGGGCCCGCCCGCCCCGCCCGCCCGACCAGACCCGCCCGTTAGGGCTCGCGTCGGCGAAGCCAGGGCGGGCGAAGCCAGCGCCGGCGAAACCAGCCGCCAGCGAAACCAGCAGGGCGAAACCAGCGCTGGCGAAACCAGCGCCGGCGAAACCAGCCGTCGGCGAAACCAGAAGGGCGAAACCAGCGCCGGCGAAACCAGCGCCAGCGAAACCAGCTCGCGCCTCCTCCCCGCCCCCCCGCCCCCACCAACGCCAGCCTACGCAAGGCGCGCGCTGCCGTCGCCCTGGGCGATCGCGCGCGGTGCCCCCCGGAAGGGCGCCGCCTGCGCGTTGCCGCCTGCTGACGGGCGCCCCCCTCCATGAAGCCCGCCCTGGAGGCGGCCTCTTCCAGGGCGTGAACGGTTGGGGGGTCGGCTGATGAGGCGCGCGCGATCTGGGCTAGGCCCATAAGCCCACGCCCGGCGGTTCGGCTGGGTTGATGGGCCCGCTCCGCACCCTGGGCTAGGCTGGCGGCTATAGGCCAGACCGGCACAGCGAGTCCTGCGCAGTCAGTGTCATCCGCACTGCGGCGCGGCAGCGGTGACATCTGGCTGCCGGGCTGGGTCAGATAGGCGGGCAGCGCCTAGTCCAGGCGGCTAGGCTGGAATTGACTCCGCAACGGCTAGGTCGTCGAACCCGCTCCGCGTGGCGAGCCCCGCGCAACCACTGCCATCCAGACTGGGGCGCGCCAGCGGCGACGTCGAGCGGGCAGTGGAGGCCATTGTCGGCGGCGGCGTCCTGGTTGCGCCCAGGGCACCCCCTCGGCGACCCCAACACACGCGCCTGCTTCGCGGCGCCGAGGTGGGAGACGAAGAACGCGATGTCCCCGATGGGCGGGGCGACCTCCGCCACCTGGCGGAGAAGGAGTGCGCCTTGAGCGCGCCCTTCGCAACCGGTCGTAGCGCCAGCTGATGGCGCCCGCAACCTTCGGCGCGACACCTGGTGGATGGCGGAGAAGGTCTGGGCGGAACGAGCCGCCCCCGAGAGCGAGAGCCAGCTCCTGGGTGGAATGGCTGAACCCGAAGCCGCGCCCTACGAGCACTGCGGGGAGCGGGAGGGCCGCGGCGACGTGTGCGCAGAACTCGAAGGGGCGCGCCCGGCGCGCCAATGGCTCTTCCACCGGCGCAGCGCTGCGACGGGATTAAGAGCTTCCCACGTCGGCTGGCCGTCCCGGGATCTGATGTCCATGTCCAGGAATCCAGCCCCCCAGTTAATGACCGCGAAATATGCCCCGACACGCCAAAGGCACGCGTCGCCAACGAAAGCCAGGTTCGCGCCGCGGTCGAGGAAACCCTGCGGGCGGTGGACCGTGACAGAGGAGCGGGCCTCCCGGCGGATAGAGGCGATCAGCCGCGATGGCGGGCCAGCGATCTGGCGCCCCCGCCGACCAGCCATATCTGGGGCAGCTGTGGTCCTTACCCTCCTGGGGGAACCCATCGAATCGACGATCTCTCGAGAGGTATCGAAATCTATGGGCCCCCCAGGGGGGTAAGGGCCACAGCTCCCCCAGTTGTGGCCTGCCTGCCCCGCGCGCACTTTTTGGGCGCGTGGGGGCCTCTGAGCCCAGCTGCCTGAAGAGCCGGTCGGATCTCGTCCAAGAGCGGCCGCGGCGAGCGCGACTCACCAAGGCGAAGTGCGACGTGAGCCCGACGAAGGGGCGCAGGATCGCGGCTGCGACGACATTGGACTCCACGATGGCGCACAGCGCCTCGTCGAAATCATCGACGCTCTCCTGGGGGGTCGTCGCGACCGCCTTCGCCAGTCGACGGAGAACTGGCAACCGGCCCAATCGATCTGCGAGCCGCGCTCGGCCGCGGCGGCGCAAGGAGGCGCCCAGCACTGCGACGCACGGATCATCGACGACGAACTCGAAAAAAGAGACACAACCGAGGACAAGGGCGGCCGCGGCAGCCCAGTCGACGGGGGTCGTTTCGCGAGCCTCGCGCGGCTCGGAAATAAAACTGGCACCTGCTCCGACATTCCCCCGCGAAGTACTTCCGCCCGGCAGGGGCGGGCCGAATCTGCCAGAAGGCACCGATGAAAACAATGACGTGACATTCCGCGCCGGGGCCCGCCACGCCCGCCGGCGCGTCCTCGGAGGGCTCCGCGAGGAGCAGGAGGGCGTCGCGGACGGCGTCGGCCCCGCGGGGCAGACTGACTCCGCGGGTGCGCCGCGTTGCTGCTGAGACCCCGCTCTGCTCGAGGTCTAAGATAATAAACCGCCGCTTTGCCCGTCCGTTCTTTGCTCGGGCGCGGGCGGCGAAACGGGGGATGACCTTCCCCGCAGCTTCCGCGCCCTCTTGGAAGCTCCAGCAATGTACAATTACCGGGGCGCTCGAAGATCTCGAGCTCGGCGGCGTTGCATGCATTGTCGTGCCCTTCGGGACCGCGCCAAGCCGTTCATGCTCTCCCGGCGCGCACCTGCGGCATCCGCCACCCCGCCGGATCGCGCGTCGGACGGTGATCCGCCTCCCCGCCACCCCGCCGATCTGTGATCCGCCTCCCCGCTGGATCGCGCCGGGCAGTCGTCGCGTCGCTGATGCTGGGCGAGTCCGGGAAAGAACGGCCCTCTGGCAGCTGGGGAACGCTCGGAATCCCATGGCGGCGGCAGATCTGCGCCAGCCCGCGCGGCCGCCCGTCGCAGGCGAAGGCCCCGACGATCTCTGCGGCTCGGATGCCGAAGCGGGCGCTGCGCTCATCGCGGCCGCGAAACAAATAGAAACTCGAGGGAGGCAGGACGGCGAACCTGACCGGACAAGAATGGGACGCGGCGCTTTTGTCCACTAGGTCTGTTAAGTATGCTCTTGTGTTGGTCTGCCGCGCAGAGATGTTGTGGCGTGCGTGCGTTTGCGCGTAGGCGTGCGTGCGTCGAATATGTGCATGTGTGTCCGTGCGTGGTGGTCTGCGGCACTGCTGTGTTATGCCGTGCTGCTCTGCCGTGCTCCTGCGGTCTGCGCGAACGTATGTTACCTCTCTGTGTGTGCGTGTGCGTGTGCATGTGCCTGTGTGCGTGTGCCTATGTGCGTGTGCCTATGGGCGCGGCTGTGTGAATAGATGTTCTGTGTGTTCTGCCGTGTTGCTGCGCGTTCTGCCGTGCTCTTATGTGTTTTGCCGTGCTCCTGTGTTCTACCGTGCTCCTGAATGTTCTGCCGTGCTGTTGCTTGCTCTGCCGTTGTCCTATGTGTTTTGTGCGATCTGCCGCGCTCCGGTTTATAATACCATGCTCCTGCGTGTTCTGCAAAACTCCGATACACTCTGTGTGCTTTGCCGTGCTCTTCGTGATCCTGCGTGTTCTGCCGTGCTCCTGTGTTATGCCGTGCTCCTGCGTTTTCTGCCGTCGATTATGCCGTGCACCTATGTGTTCTGCCGTGCTCCTGTGTGTACTGCCGTGTTCCTGTGTGTTCTGCGGCGCTTCTGCTTGCTCCGTCGTGCTCCCGTGTTTTTTTGTGTCTCGCCG